GCTAAAAAATATACTTTTACTTCTTTATTTTAAAACGTAACACCTAGTTACTTGTTACAAAATTAAATATGTTCAAAATCATCATGAAGGATGTTTCTGCTCTAAAAAATGAAGTGTTGAATTTACTCAACAAAATCATGTCAACTGGCTCCACTAAGCTTTGTTGAGTAAAATGAGAAACAAGAAAACACAAATATTGCTCAGTTTACTCAACCTGACTTAGTGGAACCAGTTTGGTTCAGTAAATTCAACAGTTTATTTCTTAGAGAGTGTGTAAAAGTACTTTTGATTTACTTTCCCATTTCTTGTGAACAGTTTTATGACTTTTACTTGAGTAGTTTTCTCATGAGTGAAATTAATTTTCACCAAAGTCATTTTCTGTTCATGTAATTTTACTTTTACTTATAGCAGCACAGGATTTTCATCATTTTTGTTTGACGTGTGGACGTAGATATACTGTAAACAAAGAAAAAAAAATCAGTTTAAAAATATAGTGTGGAGTGGGTTTGTGTATGAAGTAAAAACTCATGTAACAATATGACGGAGTCAATAAAAACACCATCTGTTTTTATCAAAGTGTTTGTTGTGTAAAAAGATAAGACTGAGTGAGCATGGAGCATAAAAACAGGTTTAGTGACCTTCGCCCTGTTAGCTGCTGATTTCTGCCTTCAGAGCAACACATGCAGAGCGAATGTTTTACTCACTAAATACTGTATTCTAATATCAGAGTAAAGCTCAAGATGTTGACCTGCATTAATGTAAACTCCATAATTATTGTAACGCTTCTTTTTTTTTGAGGGGGGGGGGGGGGGTGTTCCTTGCAGCTGCCCACCATCTCTCTGCTTATAAATATTTAGTTTCTGCATCCCATGGCGTCACAGTCAAACTCACCGCCCCTTCTGCTGCTCAAGTCTTACAAAGCGCTGCTGGAAGTGGGTCACATCTGAGAAAATGACATGAAATTTTGAAGCTGTTTCACATGAATAAAGATTAAAAAGGGGGGCAGAGTTAGAGGGACTGTGGCAATCAGCGTGTCAATTGCCCACATGTCAGTTCATGACGCACAACTCGTTTTGCCCATGTGTCCCCCCCCACCCACATCCAGTTAAGCAAAAGAGGCTCAGTCTACATGTTCTTGTGCAGACTAACTCTATTCAAGTGGAAATAATGTTAGCAGGTCACCGGCCCACACAAAGTGGGACAAGGTCAAATCGGCCAATTCCAGCCTTCAAAAGGTCAAAGTCAAGATTTCTCAACCTTCAAAACCTCACAGAAAGATCCTTTTCCTAACTAGATCAGAGAAGGATTGATCAGTTTACATACCTCTTGTAACATGGACAGAATGTCATCCTTTTTTTTCTGAAGCTGCAAAAGAAAAAAAAAGCACAAAATGGTTCAGAAGCAACAAGCGTGGTACAATAACTGATAAAACCTAAATGAAGGATTTCATTTGTTCAGTGGTGGGCAGCACTAATCTAAAAATTAGTTCCACTAGCCCTAAAACACTAACTCAAATATTTAGGTCCCCTAATTATGAAGCACTAATGCACTGAAAACTTAGCAAAAGCTAATTCTAAAAAACTAAAATAACTCAGTCAACCCATGAACGTTCTTCAACATGACAACATGAGTCACATGTTGTCATGTTGCTCTCTTCAGCCTTATCACTGACATCCCACAGCTGKATTTGAGTTCATAGTGTTAATATATTGTCATGGTGGATCAGTGACACACATGAACACAATGTGTGACAGCTTTCACCCTCAGCTGTTAACATTAAGTTTGATCAATAACATTTATAAACCTCAGTTAGTGTTTATAAAGTTAGCCTATAAATTTAGCAAGTGCTAATCCACTAATAAATTTTAAAATTAGCAAAAGCCCTAAAGCACTAATCAGGAAATTTGTTTCCCTATCAGTGTTTTAGTGCTTTAGGGGATCTGCGCCCACCACTGCTTTTGTTTGACAAGTGGATCCCTCTTCTTCAAACTTCCATATGTTACTGGTGAAAAAGAAAAAAAATTAAAAGAATTATTTTCTTTTTTATGGTTCACGACGATGTGCAAACGTGCAAAAACACCAAAAAAGGCAAACTGTAAAACACACAAACAACAAAAACCACTGCACCAGAAAATGCTGCAATCCCAAAAAAATAGACAGAAGCAAAAAACACAACCAAGAAAAGCAAAACAAAAATGCTGCAAATATCAAAAACACTCAAAAACAACATAAAATGGAAATACACCAGTACACTTGGCGGACTGAACCACCACACCTCCAAGGTGGTTCTAAACGGCCAAAACTGAGTATTATTAGAATTTTGCTGCCTGGGAACTGGCCGAGCCGAGGCCAAACTTGCAAACTCCTCCAGGCTTGCATCATTCTTCTGTTTGTGACCTGTTTAACCATTTGAAGCGTTTGCACCTGTCGGCCATGTGGCTGAAAGTCAAAATGTGAGACAGGAGATGATTTAGCATTTTCAGTGTCGCTCTTTCAAATTTCAAGTTGCCGTTCCTAAAGTCAGACATCCCGGTCCGTGGTTACATGAACCAACTGTTCAAGGAGGGCGACATATTGGTTCAGGAACAAAGTGGACAAAATTGTGCGACAGATGCAYGTCTAACTAGAAAAAACATCCAGACAGGACATTTTAAATTCCTCCGTTTGCAAGAGTGAGAAGGGAACAACAAAATGCTGCTTTAGGCAAACGATGGTCATCATTCATCCCTTCTGTCCGTCTGTTTTCTTCCTCTTATCTGGGGTCGGGTCTCAGGGGCAGCAGCCTACAGAGAGACCCAGACCTCCCTCTCCCCAGCCACTTGGACCAGCTCTTCTGGAAGAATCCCAAGGTGTTCCCAGGCTGAGAAACATAGTCCCTCCAGCGTGCCCTGGGTCTTCCTCTGGGCCTCCTCCCAGTAGGACGTGCCCAGAACACCTCACCAGGGAGGCGTCCAGGAGGCATCCTGCCTCCTACTTGGTCACCATGTAGAAAGAAACTGTCTGTTCAGAACATTTTAATCACAGTTTGTTTTTTGTTACTTTAAGTACTGTATACATACATAGTATATATAATTATCTAAGGCTCTGTATGTCTCCTCTGTATGACTATTAGGGCCATACAACAAGATTTTATTATTATTATTATTACAACAATAAAGTCATAATATTATGAGAATAAAGTCATAATTTTATGAGAATAAAGTCAGAGATTAATTTAGATTTGGCTGAAACTGATGTTAATGCTGATCATGCATCCCTAAAACCAACCATGGATGTGGGCAAGTGGACAAATTCTGTATAATAGTATTATTTTTTGTACTACTGTTCATTTGTAATTGAAAGCTTTTTATACGTTCATTAGAAATGTTTTATATTTTATTTTGTTAGCAAAACAACACTAGTACACCTCTGATCTCAAAGGATGAGGAGTTTTTACTCGTGTGGCTCTAGACTACATTTTTTTTGTTGGCCATCTCGGCCCACATCAAACCCCACTTGGGCTGTTAGRGATTTAATCCACTACAGTACAGTTAGGAAATTAAGATGAGCAGATTTGATGCAGAAATCTTCTGCCATGTTCAAAAGTCTAAATTTAGGTTGCTAATGACGAATACACAGCTTTACTACTAAATTGGTGAGGAGGCCACAGTTACTCAAAGCCAACAGAGGTTGGACATCGAGGGTGTATGGCAAAAAAAATTACATTTACAATTAATTTCAAATCTATTTTACACAAATTTAATAAAATAACTAAGCTAAGTTAAAAAGGTGACTTCCCCCAGTTGAATCGATGTGTCTTAGAGGGTTTGTCACAATAAATACAGTGACRAGGCAGAAATTAAATGACCATTTGTATTTCTTTATGTCTGTTTGATTCATTCAATGATTTAAGTGCTGATTTGGCTTCTCTTCCTGCTAGTTTTGAAAGAATTCAGTTTTTGTAGCATTAACATCAAGCRCTTCTTTTCAACGTGCAACATTCAACCAGCAGGCAGGGAACAAACTAAAGCATTTACTTCCATAATCAACAAAGAGCTAATGACTCTTCTGTTCAAGTGAAACCTGWCGGGACAGTCCAGGTTGATTATGTGCCGTTTGAAGAGCAACTCTCACCCTCTTCTTGTAGTAATTCCTCCACTTGTGATACTCCCTGATCACCACCTCAATCCTCCTCTTCCAGTAGCTGCCCTCCAGTACGATGGCCTGTCCACACAAGAGCAGGGACAGCGGTCAGACCGCCCGGCACAGAGGACACGCTTTTTAAAACCTGCTTCAGTTTCTCACTTCGGGCTTTCGATGAGCTTCTGCCTCGGAGCCTTCCAGAGGAGTGCTGAACCCACGCACCAGGTTCTTCCTTTTCTCCACATCTGAGCGGACAGAGCACAGAACAGAACCCGGATTTTATTATTTATTTATTTATTTATTATTTTTAATAAAACCTCAAACCAAAGGAAAGTGTGGTCATTTGGGAGGATGTAATAAGAACTTCTGTACTGAACTGGTTTTGTTTTAGACAAAAAACACTATTAAAACTATTAATGATAATAATAATGAAATTATTATTATTATTGAGTGTGTATATACAGTATAAATATATTTATATGACTGGCAGGAAGTTGTTGTGTGTTATAGATTTACCAACAGAAGACAAACAGGAAAACATCTCATTTCACAAGTTAAGCAGATTTTATTTTTTTCAGAATGTTAATGTGTTCTGACTTGAACTGAGAATAATAATGTAACACTTCAAAAGTTTAAATAGCCGACGTAATCACTGTTAATTCTTGAATTGGCTAGCTTCTGTAGCATATGTCATACAGAGTGTACTGCTGAATTATGCTTCAATTTAGCACAAATTATTAAATATTACAAGCTGGTTTTGCCTCTAATTTCTGTAATATACACAGTGTAAAATAATAGTACAGTATGTATTGGTTTATTTTACACATTCCAGACCTGTTGAGAAGATGATTAGCCAATATCATTAGAAACAAGTTTCATCCTCAAGTATCACCAGGTATGCAGTGAATATTTTCTAAGTATCAACAGGTAAATATTTATTAATATTACTGATAGTAGTTAGTTGAACTCATAATTTAAGTTATTGACTGACTTCAGGTCTGGTTCAGATCATTTTTCTTCTGTCAGTGAGCTGTTTTACATGACTGCTGAATGAAATTAAAAGTAAAACATTACAAATAATTTGTTACACAGATCCAGTTGGGCTGTTAGTCCACTAGTTGCTCCTGCATGTTGTCACAGATGTTAATAGTGGATAGACAATGGAGAGCTCAGTCTTAGTTAACTTTATTGTCTTATTTAACTTTCTTTTTTATGTCCAACGCTGCAGAATGACTCTAAGTGAAGGACTTACACTGAATGAACCAAGCTCTCCAGATGGCATTGTTCAAACGGATTTTATCCCTCCACAGCAGCCGTAGACCTTTGAAGGACTTCCATTTAGGGGAAACTATTTTTCCACTGAAAAAGAAAAAAAAAAGGGCAAAACATTCAGATACAGTAAAGATGGGTAAAATGGCAAATGAGATTGCAGAAGAACAATAWGAAAGAAAAACAGCCCCTCGCCTCCCCCCTGCTGGGAATCTGTCCTGATTTTGACTAATAGCAATGATTGACTTGTTCCTCAGTGCACCACCAGGATGTTTGCATTTCTTTTTCTGCCGTCCCGTCGCCTGCTGAGTGCTAAAAACAGGGCTCCTAATGTGACGTGCTCCAGGTGTTGCTAGGAAGCCGGGTGAATCATTCCCAACATGCTTTTAATGGAGTGAAACTGCTGCCTGTCATTTTCTGTAGCAGGGATGAGATATCACTTAAAACCAGGACACCAACCGGTTTGCACCAGTCTGGTTTATTAACAAATGTCGYGCAGGAGAGCAGAGAGTTCAGCAAAATACAGCAAGCAGGGGGAAAAGCTTGTTTTTTATTGAATAAAACTGCCAAAAATATATAGTGTCTGCAAAGCAAAAAGGGTCTTAAAAACTGATTTATTTGCAAATATTATGTTATCAGGGCCATCAAAAGAACATATTTTCTCAAAAAATAAAAACTCTGAAATTTTTTTAATTAATTTCAGAAATTTTCAAGAAAAAAAACAAGGAAATTCTCTGAGCTCGAGAGGTTTGCAAGAAAAAACAGTTTTTTTACATTATTTCACATATTTTCAGGACAAAAATAGGAAATTCTCTATRGAAAAGTTGTAAATTTGCAAGAAACAAACTCTATGTTTTCCATGATCAAAGTGGAAGTAGATATTATAAGATATTTTTAAAGTACTTTTTAAAGC